GTTTGCAGGGGTTCGGGAGAATCTCTAGCTAAGATTCTGTGCAGTTTAGAGAATCCCCAAATCCCCTTCCTGGCTGGCACTGCCCACCCCTCCCCTCCCCGGAGTCCCCATGCAGCCCGTTTTGGATGCAGATAAGTATAAGGCACATGCAGAGGCTCAGGGAGGGTGAAAAAGGGCCTACCGGAAGTTTGGGAAGGCCGGAAATGGTCCCTTTTCCTGCCTCCAGAGGCCCCCTGGAGCCCAAGGAGGCCGTTTTAGCCCTCCCGGAGGCTTGAGGAAAGCTGACTAGGCCACGCCCACCATGGCCACGCCCACCTAGCAACCGAGCAGAAAACCCCTTGCTAAAATTTTTGAAGCCCATCCTTGAACTCAAGTTATAAGTTACTACATTTTCTCCCATGTTTTGCAATTTGTATTTTTTACCTCTAGTCTTTTTCACATTTATGTTTGGTTAAACTAATTTCCATAGATATCATACTGAGTTATTTTCTGCTATCCACCTGTTTCCTATCCGCATACAGGTTTCCCATAATTTTTTTCATGAAAAGGAAAAACAAAAAATCCTACCTTTCCAGACTCTTTTTTTATTTTTTTAAAAAATGCATATATAAGTCCCTTGCCATTTTTTTTAAATCTTCACAAGAATCCCTGTAAATGCATTAAAGTAAGAGATCCAAAAGGCTTGGTTGGCTATTTTAACTATTCTACAATGGTGTATTTCAGCGTAATCATCCAAGAGCTTGAAATGGGCTGGTTCGGAGAAAGAGTTTGACTTTGTGGAATGCATGTAAATTCCATTAAGTTCTAGGAGATATTCCCTCTACTGAGCACGTATAAGACGACATCTTTAGGGAAGGAAATCAATGCTGTGCATAATGTTAAAAAGTTGATTTCTACTAATGTTCAGGCTGACATATTAATTTGATGTAGAGAGGTTTACCTACAACATCCGGCCATAGAATGATTAGGAGCAATTTTATGGAAATCAGCCACCATTTATGCACACATGTATTGTGCTATGATGAAAAAAATATTTTGATTAAATCGGGTGATTCTAAGAGTTCAAGAATATCAGGTTTCCAAAGGTGAATTATCATAGAAATTCCTGTCATGGTAATGGATCATTTAGCATTCTAAAATTCGTTATTTGTACTCAAACCTTGAGGGGTGCTCAAACTGCAAATAAAGACTGTTTTGAAGAATGTAAATTAGAGTCACACTGTTAATCAGCCTGACTTTCAAACCAGAATGCCTGCAGATTTTTTTTTTTTGCAGTAAACAAATTTGCTAAGTGACAATGTGCTTTCGCATAAATCCATGTAATAAGCATTGTACATTTTTTAAGAAGTGAAATTTTAAAAATATATTTTTAAATGTCAAAGCCAAGCACCATAATTTTGGATTTACCCTAAAGGGAGCAATGGAGGAGGTTGCAGTACATTGCCAGACTCACGTTTCCCTAACTTGCAGCTCTCACGAGTTTTGTTTCTGATTCACAAAACACGCAGAGAAGTGGGAAGCAGAAGTCCACCACCTTCTTCTCTTGACTTGGTTCTCAGGATGCCTGACTCACCTTGGTTTAAGTTTAAAAAAAACAACCTCTGGGAAAGCCAGTTGTACAATTTTTAAAATTTGTTCCAATATCCATTATTTTAGTGCTTAATTGTTACTCTATAAAGCACATTTACTTAGTTTGACATGCATTTGGATTAACTAAATATAAAGTGAAATAAATATGCTAACCCAATTTTAAGACGAAGAGGAAGAAGCCCAAATTGGTGGACTTGCATGAAGACATCCACGTTTTCCCTTCTAATCCAAAGAACCTCAAGTGAGGCCTCTTGTGTTACCTAAAGCCAGAGATAAATCTCTTCCCAGCTCTTCTGGGTCACACAGAGAGGCAGATCCTTTTGAGATATAGAAAGTCCCTTTGTGGTTAGAAAGAGGGCTGCCGTCTTTTGATATGGTGGAATCACTGTCTGAAGAGGAGGAAGAGGAGGAGGAGGAGGAGGAGGAGGCAAAATAGTCTGGCGAGATTCCTGTAATAAAACATCTACTTGGATCTGTCCACAAGTGTTTCGAGTTGTGCCTGGGATCTGCCCAATGTCTGAACCTATTGAGGATTTATGCATATTACCTAGTATCCTAGGACCTCCCTTTAAATATACATGGTTTTACATTTGACTTATTTTAGCTGTATATATTGGTTTTAGAATTAGTGGGTTGTTAAATTGTAAACTAATTTTATGCCGTGTATTTGATTTTTATTATGCTTTGTTAAAGGCACGTAGAAATGATGATGATCATCATGATTAGGGTATATGTGAAATATGAACCTCATTAGGATGAAGAAGAGCCAATACTGTATATGGCAAAGAAGAACAAAAAAAACTTTAACTAAAAATGCACATTTCCTCTATTAATAAACCAGATTAATGTCTAAAGATCTGAGATGACTTTTAAAAAATATAATAGAAGCCCTATTCCTTATTTATAATTGTTTGGGCTAAAATAGAGTGGTTGGTTGAAATCAAATCATAACATCATAGTCAAGTGAAGGCTTGAACATAAGATTTCCTTGAAAGAAATATAATATTTAATGACTATAATACACTGGCTCAGTAAATGCCAAACGGGTCATAATAAACGGGAGGATATGGATGTTTCTGGGAAAAACTGGACAATTTCATAGTGTTTTTTGTCCTTTTAGCAGGCCATGTTCTTAGAAAGAAAATACATTTAAAAAACAGGGTCAAACATAACAAACTAGTGAAACTTTTCTAGACTGGGCTGTAAGGTGATAAATTCTGTGTGCAGCTTTTTGTCATTGGTATAGAAGTATTAGAAATAAAAATTGGTGCTCCTATTTTTCAACCACTCAGGTAAAAGAAGTGATATTGGCTCATAGGGCTAAGTCACAGTGTGGGATCCCTGGTTTTCACTTATTGTTGTGTAGACCAGCCACTGGATACTATAAATCATGGCTTATGGTGTCATATATTGTAGAAACCTGGCCAACTGTGTGCACTGTATAACCATGGCTTCTGTTAAGAGGGAACTTCAGCCTACATCAGTTCCCACAATGAAATAATAGACGGAAGAAGTGATGGAGTTAGCAGAAATGTTTTAATTAAAAAATGAAATCTTGACTTTGGATTTTGCTGATTAAATTAGTTTGCTGTTATAGAAATGGCTAAATTAGCAAAGTAAAAAGTCTGCAATTCTATTTTGTATTTTGCTACAGTAAAAAAAAAATGGAAGTCCACATTTTCTCCCTTTTCTATCTTACCCTACGCTTCTCCTTGCTCTTTTTTCTTTTCCCATTTCTCTACCTTTATTTTCATTTATATTATGACAAGCATAATATTTTTTAAAGAACGAGTGAGCCCTGCCCAGGTATGTCACTTGAGGTTACCCAGGAAAATTCATTCTGGTGATGATGGAATTAAGACTCCAGTTTTCTGTTGTATATATATAAGATATAATAGATGCATATGCATATTTAAATACACCTGCAGATACATAATTTCTCATTATTGTGATGAGTGAGGTAAATTGGAACTGTACAAAAAGTTTCAATTCTTACTTTCTTTTTAAAAAATTGTTGATTTAGAGTTTGACTGACATTGTTTGTTAAAGATTCTTGGGTTTGTTACTATAATTGCATGTAATACAAGTTATCCTAGTTAAAAGATATTTGTAGATATTTGTCATATTTGTTTATGTATTTAACATATATTTGTATGCTGCTGTGTATAAATATATGTGTACAATATTAACAAGTTACCCATCACAACGTATAATGTCGCCTGTGAACCAAAAATAAGACAATAACTCCCCATTGTGGCTGCTTCCGTCATACCATCCTGACTTTGGTTTCCTGTGATTTAGGAATGGAGTAATAGTGAAGTATTCAGTATTGCAATAAACTGATAAAATTGCACCTCCTAGTGGGCACATAATCCATTCCATAGTTCTGGGTACAGTATATGTTAGCAATTAGTTGGCAGAATTGTTAACATTTTAAAAACCACGTTAATAATAACATAATGACCTCATAATGATGGCTTCTAAAGTTCCAAGCATGTTAAAATTGCCTTTTCATTGTAGGATTGTAGGAACATACAATACAGTTTGCAGTAATAGTACGGTTTGCAAGGGATATTCTGATATTTGTATTAATATCTGAAACAAGCCTACAAGATACATTAACTTCTTTTGCAGGTTCTGATGTCCTGAAAGAATACCATGGTCATTAGTCATCATATCTTGGCCTATTTACTCAAATAATTAACGAAAACAGATAATGAACAGTCAGATCAAGTCTTTTCCATGTCCAAATCAAGCAGCAAACTCAAAATAACCCCGTTGATTTATTATAAAACGAGACGCACAGAAAGTTGGACAGGCTTTAAAATTTTTATTATTGCCCCTGCCACAACATTTCTGGAATCCACACCATGCCTGGTTCTTGACCTTCCCTACTTCAGAGTTGACCGGAGGGGTGGGA